CGATACTCGTACGGAGATGTACTATTTGAGTACAGACAGTTTTTTTTACCCATGCGGCATCCTGTTGGGACCCGGTCTACCGGACCAATATGCACGTCGGGCAACAGGGCAGTAAGGGGACGCAAGGAGCTGGAGTCGTGATGGTTATTCACCGACCACTACCTCCCCCCAAATTAACTCTCTTCTCTAACCGCCGCCAGAACTTTCGGGGAACCTGCTTTCACAAAATCTGTGCTCACTCGTGCGAAAGCATTACGGTAGCCTTCTTCCAGTGCCCCCCACCAGGTTCCAGAGGAGAACCTTGAATTCAGGACTGTCCGGAGGGTTCCTTGCTCTGCTCGATTTTGCTCAAAAATAGGTCTGTGCATGCGGGGGCCCCGGCCCTGGTCCCTCGGTCGGAGCGAAGGAGGGGGGGGGGAGTGGACAGTGGAGTACGGTATTGCCCGCTCGGTTGCTACGTTAGTCATGTAAAATGTTTAAGGTCTGCGCATGTCTTGGATCAGCCGAATGTTAAAGGCATGTTCCTAGTCTCCCAACCCCACCACCCCCTATCAACCTAAATTCCTGTGCCACATGCAGAGTGCAGAACCACCCCACCCGGACAAAGCACGGGCCAACGTCTTCTGCGCACGTCTCAATCCGGATGCCGCAAGCCGCCTTGGTGCACGCCTTACCCGGAGACACTTTCGCGGGTTGGGGGGGTGTTTCGCCTCATTCGCCCATCTAGAGCGAAATTAAGCTTCGCGTCACCAATGCCTCTCTGGCCACAATGCTTGTTCCGACGCCCGAGTGGCACAGGGGTTCAGTCGGATGCGCCATTTCGTCATATCACACCTCTCATCTCGGGATTCAGAGACAAACATTCTTACAAGTACGAAGGATTAATGCTTTCCTGAAAAGGTATCCAAGCACGGCTGCCCGAACCATTTGGCACGCTGGATCTGGTTAACTTGTTTTCGCAGTTCTATTCATTTGCCAGGCCAGACTAAACCTATCATGGGCTCATTTCGCGATCCACAGGGATAATCCGATCGCGTACGGTACCGTATCGAAGGTGTTTCTATGTACCAGTTATCTACCCTGCACTACCAGCCCCTGAGAAGCTCGGCTAGCCCTCTCTTTCATATTCCCTAGAAAGCAAAGGCGGGAGAATTCTACAATGCCCTTAGCGGCTTATTTAGTAGCGGTTATCTATATAGCTATTCAGTTATCTATATTTCTCTTGGCTGTTCCTTCGTTATTCAGAAGTATTGCCCTTGAGGCATAAGGAAGGGTATGAGAAGTTTACCGACAGTGCTATGCTAGGCGTCGCCCGGTAAAACCTCGTTACTATTCGCTCTCTCCACCCCCGCGCTAATTTTGGGTTCCAGTTACTACCAGTGTGTTCTTAAAAGGACATGTGTTTTCCTAAGACGGTATCCAATAAGCCATTCAACCACACTTAATCTCGTTAACTGGTTTGGCAACTCAGCTAACATGCCACGCTAAGCTGATTCTGGGTTACGCCATGAATTACCAGGATATCGATGACCCGGTGGAGATAGCTAATCGCAAGAGGTTTTACCGGGGGATGATTTTGTTCGATCGCGGGAGTGCTGTAGAACTCCAACACCTCCCCGTGCCGCATGGGATACCGGTACGAGTGCAAGATGGAAGGCTGACTCTGGAAGCTAAACTGCGCTCGTGCACTGCCCATCTCACCAACCGTCCCTCCGTGGACCTTACTGCGTCGGGAGAAGTACCCGTGATGCGGGGGCAGGCGCCCACTCAAAGCAATGAGCAGGGTTCGCCAGCTCGAGAAGCCCTCTGTTCCAGGCGTGACACACGATCGACTTATAATGAGCAGGGCAAGGTTAACGGGGCGGCTAGCGCGATGTTCTACAGAGAGGCATTTTGGTTCTAGGTACTTGTACAAGCACTTGCAACTTGCCAATAATAAACAGGCAAAAGGATTTACCGGTACTATCTCAAGCGAATCTGGGGTGGTACGGTACCAGGTACGGTACGATACTGCCGGACCCCCCCGCCGGCACTCTCTGCGGAATTCGGAAGGAGGGGTTTCTCTGTGCTTCGGAGGTTCGGACAAGCATAAGGAAATAGGGGCGAGGCAGCCCAACGACAGTGACAACAAGGAGATGGATAGTCTGGTCACCTGACAAATCCTCACGTTCCCGCTTTGTGTCCGAATAAAAGCAAATACAGAAATCCGGTCGAAGAAAAGGCTGCACCCAGTATCCCTCTCCGCCCCGGATCTTCGTCCCTTTCATCCTATCTGTCTGATTAGTGAACCCCCTTAAATGCAAGCATTTACTCAAGGGTCCCACAGAATTCATAGCAAATAAACAGCGCTCATACTGCACGACCGTGGATGCCAACGCACCACCCCATGAGTCCGTCCACCTGTACTTGAGTACATCCCCGACACGGTATCCGTCCACACTTGTCCGAGCCATTCGGCGGTGCTGCCTCACATTAACTCGTTTCCGCAATTGCCTAAACTTGCCAAACGGAAGCTATAGTTCGCTGATTCCGCGACTTATAATACCTAGCCCAAATCACCAACACAGAGCTTTCACTTAGTCCATTGTTTCAAAAGCCAGCCTAATCCGGGCCCGTTTCCGGAAGCTGGTGTTTTACTTTAGCCCTGCTTTACTCAGACGCACCAGAGGCAGGAGTCACCTGTCTGATGACGTACAGTAGTCGATCGTCTGCGCAACTGTCATAAAACTTGAGCAGCCACCGACCGAAGTATTGAGTAAGAAGCCCACCCATGGTTGTGCGGGTATTTGGCGGGTCTAGCCGCCCCCCCGCTATCAACGCTAGGTCATGAGTCCCCTCCCGACCTGGCGATTTTCGCTATTTTGTTGATTCCCAATTTCCTTCTTCTGTGCGAACACAATACGTTAACCGGTTGTTGAAATTTGATGTCATTTGGATAAAGTTTTTTTTTCGTGGGGGGGGGTCAAGTTTTCCATACTGTCATCTAGGCGGGATTACCGGTGGTAGCGTTAGGGCGTTCCGACCCATAGTTATTTTTGCATGTCACCAATCCATCCCAAACGTACCGTGGAGCGTGAGTGATCTGGGCATCTAAGGGGTACAGCAGGCTATCGTACTGCTCATACCCTGGCTCACCACCGATTGGGTCAGCATTTGTCCTAAATATCTACCGCTTTACACCCAGACAGTAATCCCTAACTACATCCTTAATGAGCCGAGGCATGATTGTGATCAAGTATCCATCCGATTCTGCTCGATCTCTTCCCACCCCCCCGATACGAGGTCCCAATATTAGCACTCCTTATTAACAAACACAATAGTGATGCCCCCCTAGTAGCATCTAACAATTCCCCCATGCCACGACTTGAACCCACCCCCGATCCTCAGGTAACGTTCCTGATGCGTGTTCGGGCTCGGGCACCAGCAATGTTGCCACAGCCCAACCCTTTTCCTCACTTCACTGTATTCCCAACCTCTTGATTGGGGAGGTTGGTTTTCTCCGGGGGAGCTTCTGATGCCCCCATTTGAGAGGACGATCACGGCGATGGCGGAAAAAGGGTAAATTCCTCTTGTTTTTTCTTTTTAAAGGATTTCTGCCTTCACCCCTTTCCGCAGAAGTGGCGAAAAATGTAGAGGGATCCATGGTGGTGGAACGGCAAAGCCATTCCACATGATCAAGATATGATACGCCGGTGATGCCAATACTTGCCCTACCGGGCCCTACTGTAATGTGCTCGAGTACGTGTATAGTCCTTTCCCTCTGATCTTGTCTCATAACAGGTCACTCCCAGATACGACCGACTCTGTGAACGTTCGGCACACTGAATGAACCACCTTTCCGGGGCGTCATACGGATCCTACAAGGTTACTTTTTTGGGTATGACCTGACGTCCCTCCCTTGCGCCAGCGTGGGTACAGCACGGCCTCAAAGGCAATCCGCTATGCATTCAATGGGTAGCTATTTGCGGCTCAGATAGTTTGAATATTCCCTTCAAGTTTGGTGGAGTATTAGTAACCCTAAAAACTTCATAATTTTGGTGTTTCTTGCACTTTTTTTCACTAGTTTAGATTATTTGCAGATAGCGTAAGGTCTGGTTCCCGTTCATGACGACTCCGCAACCTCTTAGCCCAGCCTAATGTATATGCACCCGATGGCACCTTGGTTCCTAAATTTTATCAACTAGCAATAGTCAAATATTAACTCTCCCAATTCTTGATATGCACAAAATTTCATATGCATCAAGTACGCCAGTTGAGGGACAGCAATAAGAGCTCACGAAATGATATCTCGGGGGAAATCCCATCCGGAGAACTCAAGTAGGCGAATATATAGCATATGTGGCGTTACGGTATTAAATAGATAGCTGCGCAATAGACATGAAAAGTGGAAGAAGTGGAGTGAAAATGTGAAAACGTGTTGAGTAAGAAAATAGATTATGGTAATAGTAATGGTGGGGGAAGAATTGACATCTTAAGAGAAATTGACACAAAGGGGAAAATAATATGAAATACATTGCCATCACCGTTGCCTCCCATACTCCTCCAAAATAGTAGTTAGCGATGCTAGCGGGTGAAAAAAAAAAACCTGCCCGGCAAATCCTCCGAGTTCCCTTCCAACATAGGATAGATACAGAACGACAGCTGAAAAAAAAAAAAGGAACATAATAGGAGAGTTAGAGGAATACAGGAACGGAATAAAATACTTGTAAAAACAGGCCTCCGAGGGATCCCTAGCCGGGGGAACCGGTTGCGCGCACTTGGCTTCCGAGCGCCCACCCTTCAGCTATGATATCTCAGGACCACTCTCTCTCTATTTAGCTGCCAGCTGTCTTTTCCACACACTTCCTTATACCAGGCCCTAATTTCATTTTTTCGTTCTGGAAAGTTTCTGGGTCTTCCCTAAGCGCAAACTGGTAAGCGCCCTCTGCAAACAGAGTTCTCTTATACCAGGTACCCGAGCCACAATATACCAGGATCGATAATAGGAGAGTGAAAAATCCCAGGAGAGCGGGGATGGCAATTAAGACTGACAACCGGAGAGCCGCCACTTTAGGTGTGGAGACCACGAAGAGGTCTACTCCGTGCTGGGGTTGGTCCTTGCCTGTATGGGCCGCATTGGGGATGTTCTGTTTATCGCCGACCATCAGCATGTTGCGGAACGTGTGGGCTGATGAAATCCACGTGGCTGTAAATAGGCGCTTCATGTCCTTTTCGATCGTTGAGGTCTCCGCGTCGAACCGACCGCCAACGAAGGTGGTAGAGCTTACTAGTGACGATGATCCAGCAGAATTGATCACGTCAATGATACGGGGAAGGTTAAAGTCCATCTGCAGTTGAGTGACCCATCCGTCGGGAAAATCGATGTTGGCCTCATCAGTCAGCTCATAAATGTTCTTGAACTGTCTTCCGTTGTAGGACCACACGTCGTTCTGAATGCAGGAAAGTGCCGGCCTGCCACCCTTTACCCGGTTTGTGGCCGGGTCAGCTATCTGCGCATCTGTTTCGTTTTCTGACGGCGTAAAAGTTTCCGTCTCGTACCATGGATCTGTTCCTGGGCGGTGGCTGGCTCGGTGGCTGGAGTGCACAATAATTCCGTATCGGTGCTCCACTGCCTGCCCGATAAAGAAACTAGAATCAGCGTAAGGGAAGGGAATAGCTGTTGCACTTGGGGCTGTTTTGCGCTCGCCATCATAGACGACATTGACAGTTTTGTTTGCCAGCTCCCAAGGACGGTAAACATCAAGATCCGCATCCTGATCATTTTTCGAGAACCAGCTATTGTCAATAGCGCACCACCCATCCACCTCCTGCTTCAAGTCATACCATTTCTGCAGACCCATATCCTCGGCTTTCACCGTGTAATTGTAGACAAATTTGTATGGGGAGTCACCCCTCGCGGGTGTCGTGACTAAGGAGAAACGATCTCGGATAGTATGGTCTCCATCTGCGGCCTCGGCACTTCCAAGTGATCGTAGAGTTGCTGGTGCTCGCAGGGCCTGGAGCCGCATCGTGTCCGCTGAACCCGTCTGCTCGGCCTTCGGCACATACACTTTGTTGGGGTTTGCAGGTGCAACGTTGCCGGCGATCAGCTGGGCAGCAACGAAGATACTCGCCACATAGGTCCCTGCCAGCCATACAAAGGCCCAAGCCAGCAGCATCAAAGCGGGTCTGCGGATGTGGGATTCCTTGCTACTTGTCGCTCCGCGTACCCTGCCCAAGTAGTCCAATATGAAGAAGAAGGCTTCAAGTGGCTCGCGAGAATTCCAAAAGCCCACCAGGGCTATGCCGCGTATTATGTTGCGATATCTCTCGGCTGACGGATTGCTGAACCCCTCCCAGCGTTTTTTGACTTCCCCCTTGCGACTCTCAACTTCCCGCTTGCGTTGGTCTAGAACCTCAGTGTGTTCGCCCCCTTGGGGCATACCAAGAACCGTCGTGGATTTGCGGAGATCCTCAAGGTTTTTATTGAGATCCTCAATGTTTTCATCGAGATCCTTGATGTGCTTTTCGCGATCCTCGCTGCGTTTTTTGATTTCCTTCATGGGTTCCGTGAGAGCATTTGACAAGCACATCACAACCATATTAAAAAGCTTCCAACAGACAATGAAGAGGAGTGTTGCGAGAATCGAATAGAGTGCTGTCAGGAGCTGCCCTGTTGTGCTCGTCACGGCAATGCACTCTTCAGAGTTGGTCTTAGTCCCTGTCGGACGTAGAAAGGTGGGGAGGCCGAGGCGGAAGCTATCCGCCGCGACGTCCGTGAATACTTCCATGATCTAAACTTCCGGTGCCGTTTCTGTTATACCCAAGGGCTGGACCAACAGTGAGGCAAATACAGGGGGCGGCGTGTGAAGGAGCTGTCTGGCCAATGTGATCTTACACAGGAGGTGATTTGAGAATCTCCCGGGAGACGTGTGGTGGGAACTAGAACCCCCGATTTTGGAGACAGAAGGACCTCCGGGAGGGCGCTATGAACAAAGAAGGATAGGTGTCCAATATTTCCTTAGAAGTGTCTGTAGTTTCCCCTTCATTAGTTAGCTATCAAACCCAACCACAGTTGCTACCGAACACAGCTATTCATCTTACGTCTTAGGCTCCAGATTGGCTCAGTTATGATGCGTTCTGGTCTGATAGAATTCGTGTTGGATGAACTGGGTGTGCTTGTGAGAGCTGCTCAAGATTCTGCGTTTGGGCTAGAGGAGGAGTTGAAGGAATGTAGATGACGGAATAGGCTACCCAAGGACTGTGCGATATCAAAGAATGAGGGCTCCCGTGAGTTAAATATGTAGGCGCTGGTGGTATGATATAAGCATTTGGAAAGAGGCAGAGTGGTGAACTGTACTATACAGCGGCAGGGTCACAAGAGGGAAATTCTGAATCGCGTACCACTGGACACCATGTCTCCGGAAATTAAATCTGCAAAAGCTTTAGAGCCCAAAGTGCAATTCCCAACCAACTACAAAAATGGAAGAAGTGGGGGGGGGGGGTAACACACATCTCCCGCATATCCCCAGCATTACCGCATCATTGGACTAAAGGTATAGATAAACATCAGGGGGCCAATATAGCGCATTGGGAACTACTGGTAGGCTGACAAACTCTTATAATGGCAGAGCCATGGTTGGCAAAAGGATCAATAATTGTGAGCCATCCACAAGCATTAGAGAGTGAAGAGTGCCTTGCACCCAAGGTTCAACTTGAGCTATCCCAAGGAACGAGATGATTGCGAAAGAGTTTCCTCGACGATTGCCCAATCTTGTAAATAGCAAAAAAACGAAAAAAGTTGGCGCCCCCAGATTCTGAGCTTCTGAGGCTCCAGAGAGCTTACCTTGGCTTGGGAACAATCCAGCCCTGGTTTTCTCATCTAATTTAGTGTAATAAAACACAAGCAACCTTTATCTAGCCTGCATCCCTTCTGGGTCCGATCTACCGATATTCAGCTGGGAAAGGAGGGCAACGGAAACTATACCGGGGGTGAAGTATACCGTACATCACTAACCGGAGGTCCTGAATGAACAAGCTTGTTCAAGTCGCGATCATGGGGCTAGGCCTCGGGAAACTCACTTTGGGGAAAAAAGAAACTTTACCTGTACGAGGAGTCGGGGTGGTCGTTAAAAATTGCCAAAAGTAATTGCCCAGAGTCTCTCCTAAGGCCGCATCATGGTTGGGACCTAATGGCTTCGGATGTCAAAATTAGCTGTGACGGGGGGGGTGTCTACTAGGTCACAACCCAAGAACAACAAGATAATGGCAAGTATCTAAATGTACCGTAGGAGTGTTTGTGGCGACAAGGAGGGTTTCCTCAAAACCCCTGACTCTACCCCCCTCAATGGGATGAAAATTCAAGGCAATCAGTCTTGGTACTTGTCCTCTCATCGTGCTCCGACCTAGACCACTGTACAAGTAAGAGCAATAGAGAAAGAAGAAGAAAAAAAAGGAAAAAGAAAACACCAGACTCGGGCCAAGGTTGCGGCGTGGATGTCGAAACCCTGCTCCGAGCAGGATTATCGGCGGGAATTAGCCGCTAACCCACGATGGGTTCACTTTGATAGGTGAATACGCGAGAATTGAGGATACTGCAAATGATATCCAACCCACCTGGTTGGCTGATCCTCCGGGGCACCAGGAAATAGTAATCCGAGTCAGTGGCTTTTGGTGAGGGTCCGGAGATCTTGGTTGTGATGGATAGAGTAGATTTCAAGGGCTATTACCGCGCATGATCGTCCGATCTAATGACCCCTACATTGTCAGCTTCTACATGTAATTTTCAATTTCTAATGATCGCCCGGGGTACAAGCACCCTAGGGCATCACGGTTCTAGCGCCCCAATGGGGGGTTTGTGGGAAGATATTTTAGGTTCGGTGGCGTCAGGCTTCAGGGCTCCTTCTGGCCATTTCTGAGCAAGGGTGAACAATAAGTCTGCTCTCAAGGAGGCCCATTAGTGTTGGAGGATGAAGGATTCCACATGTGTCACTCCAGCCGAGTCTTAAAGACATGTTACTTGTACTCGTACAAGTTCCCAAACCCCGCGGTATGCAGCTTCCTTGCACTGCCGCACCAGTGATTCAACCGTAATTACCGCACCACCTGTCAAATTCGAGAGTACCCATATCCAGACAAAGCAAGGGCCGGCCCGTACTTGTACTACGCATATCCCAATCTGGCGGTGAATTTGCATAAAGCCAACCGTCCATGGCTGGCGCCTTACCCGCACAATTTTCGTACGGCGAGGCGGGCGGATCGTTCGGCTCCTTCCGTTAAATTAGTTTAAGCTTGGTTTCACGAAAGCCCTAACAATGCTTGTACCGGTGTGGAAGTGTCTCGGTTGACTTCCGTAATTGGGATGGTGTGATTGACCGAGCTGACACCTGTGCAATTGTGATATTTGTATGACGTAATATTCAATTGGACAAGAGTATACTCGGGTATGAAGGTTAGTGATCGGAAAGGCAGGGGTTTGAGGTCCCCGTGCTCATGGCCGTCAGAGAGAAAATTTTATTTAATTTGGTAGGCACAGCTCTAAGAAGAGTAAAAAGCTTTGACACCTCGAACCCCTGTCTTTCCGATCACTTACTTCTACCCCCGAGTAGAATTATGCTGATAAATTTGACAATAAAACACAGTGAGAAAGCAAGAGAAAAGAGTGGGGAAGACAACACCCAGAAACAACGGTAAAGAAGGTGGTGGTGTTGGTTGTATGATACAGGATGGGTCTTCGCTGTGTTGTTCCTCCGCTCTCTCTGAGAAAGGCAAGGCCATGCCTCCAGATGAAAACATCCACCTGCCAAGCCTCATCCCAAACAGAAAATTCTATGGGTAAAAACCCAGAAAACATGACCAGAAAACCCCTAAAACCTTCCTCGCACCACACCGGTATCACACCAACAAGACTGGCCGCTATTTGCAGGATACTTGGCATGGTTACCGTAGAAGCAAAGCCCTATTAGGTAACGGATATTTGCTACTCCGGCCCCCGTTTCTCCCCCGAATTCCGTCGGCGGGGTCATGGGGTGGAGGGCGCCGCAGGGTTAAGAGTTCACGAAAACACGGAACTGCAGAATATAGGGCAAAAACAAAGTGCATAATTTAGGGGTTAAAATAGGAGGGTAACAACCGAAAGTGTTAAACTGTACCCCATCCGCACGTAATCCCATCGCACCGGGTCAGGCTTAGCCCCGGGAAGTACCAAAGGGGCGGACTTCCCGCTGCGTGCTGAGCTCCACTCTTCAATGTATATGGTGAGGGACTTCTGGAGCCGAGTAATTTGCCAAGAAATTATTGCTCAACCTCCAGCGGCAAAGGCTTTTCAACAACCGCTCTGGTGAGAATTATAGCTCTATTAGATGATACAGTAGGAGGCCCTCCACACATTAATAGGGAGAAAATGAAATACCACAAGTTTTCATGGAGTGATAAGAGTTTAAAACTAGGTGAACTTTTGGGGAATGTCCGGAGCATGTTAATTACTGGTAATTTCCTTGGCACAGTCAATAAATGGATGTTTGCCAAGAAACTAACCTCTATTAAGTCTACTTACTGTTACTAAGCTGTGATGAATGTCCGCCTGCTCCGGCTACAGACGCCCCCTCACATACTCGAGTACACCGTACCCGTACCATGCCGGGAGATCGACAAATTGTTGTGGTGAGGCCAATGAGGCGGATGTGTGGATGAGGATGGGATGTTGGGACACATTTCTTGGCTCTGGGAAGTCGACACACACCAAGAGATTCGCTATTTAAGCGAACGGCATTTGCCGGGGGCACAGTACCGTACTCGTACAGCACCAAAAGCCGATTACAACGCCCCAAGTTAGACTTGAAACTCATACCCGTGCTCGGACGCGCTCGTACATGACTCCCCGAGGGAATATCAATTCCCTCCCCCATTGGTTGCGGTAGAAGAAAGAGAGAAAGGGAAAGGGGAAGAAAAAAAACTTCCCCTTTCCAGGCTATATATCGCGAAATCCTTATTCGCCCTGGAGGGCTTGGAGCAAATTTTACAATTAGAGCAGGATGTCGTACTGTACCCTCCTTGCCCCTATTTTATTCGAACCCATCATCAGCCATCTCCACTCCGTATCCCCCGCTTACTCATAAACGCCGGGAAGCGCACTCGAGTGCTGTACTAGTACGGGTACTGTACAAAGTACACTCGTGTCAGTGAAGTTCTCATAGCGTCTGATGTGTTGCCGGGCCTCCCTCACCTTGCACCGGAAGATTGCGGGAGTTATTTACCTGGAAAAAGGATGTGAAAATCTTCTATGCAATTTGCTACCACTAGATTAAAAATGATCACTCGAGGGAGAGTCGTCCCCGTCCCTTGGGTCGGGGTTGATGGGGTACCTGCCGTGCTAGGAGAACCTTGCGGGTGCGATCGTGCTGTACTCGAGTACTCGGACTGTACTACACTATTACGTCACAACGACTAGGATAAATGAATGTTTTTGAAGACGGTCGCCGAATCAGGTCCAAGCTATCATCCTAGTGCTAATCAATCACCCCCCTAATATACTCGCGCGGCCGAGTTGAAGTCGCGCACCCAAACCTAGTAGTGATCGGTGGGCTAATAGGAATTTGTATGATGCTCTGAATTAAGTGCGGAAGTTAGTATTCCCCTGAATAAATTACTGAATCCAGTATAGCATACAATTAGTCATATCAATTCCTATCGACATGCGGATCGTTTCTAGATTCGGGTGCGCGACTTCAACTCGACCGCGCGAGTAAGTCAAAAGCCTCGAACTCACCCTCGCCGACACCTAGAAAACCCCGAGACGGCGACCACGCCCGCGTCCGGAACAAGGCACCTGAAAAGGAGACAGGGCCCTTTTCGGCGGCCGGTGGCTCGTCCAACAAAGCCTGATCTTCGGATACGGTACCTTATTGCCCGATACAAGGATGTATGTGCTAAGCGCCTCACAGTGCCCTGTCCGTGCTACCTGGTCTACCGTATTCTTCGGCCTCACCGGGGGCGGGCGGGAGCCAAATACCATATTACCGGTATCACAAGCTACGGGTACTCGAGTACAGGTACTCGTACTATCCCCTGGTCCATTGAGACACCGTAAAATCTCTCATGCATTAGCTTCGAATCTGGTGGCTTGGCATCCGAGCGATATCCGGTATAGCCAACATAGATTACTGCTACCATTAGATCTTACAGCCGGGGGGGTAGGGAAGAATCCGGTGTGGCTAGCGCCAGGAGTGGTAAGCGGGTAAGTAACCTTACTTGGCCATTTATGAAGTGTTCGGATTCCTAGCACCGGGACGGGTGCTGATAGTAGTAGGGTGTCCGAATACTTTATGCCCAAGTAGGTTACATGATTTGCTAGCTACAATAGGCTAAATTCCTCGCGCTAATGCATGAGAGAGATTTTACAGGTGTCTCAGTAGGCCAAGGGATAGCAACCACCGGAAGAGGCCGTTTTGGTTGGTCGGAACACCCATGTTAACTAATATCCTGTCCTCGTCTCTAGCTTGTGCTCACTATTTCATTCATTCGCTCCCTAGCCTTGCTAAGAGAAAGAGCAAAAGAAAACCAAAAGCGGCATACCCTAGCAAAGAAGAAAAAAAAGGAACCGGGTCAGGCTCGGCCTTTTGGTCCCCCACGGGCTGCGGGTATGGCGTTCCTGACCGTAGAACCCCCTGTTCCCATACTGATTCTCTCTCAGCTTCGGGTGTGGGTACTCTTTTTCTAAGAAAAATAAAACTGCCTGGACTAGCAGCCTCTTGGGATTCCTGGCATTGGAAGACCAAGCTTTTAGGAGCCGATAGATGAAAACAATACTTGGCATACTATTGTTTGGAGAAAATTCATTGATCGTGGGCGGAACTGCTATGTAAGCTTAGTTAAGTCACCGTAGAAACCGGAATAATTGAACACTGTACTATGTCCCTGGACCTTCCCCTCTCAGTATGGTCAAGAGATATTGGTTTTTTCCTGTCCAAGAATGGGAAAGGGGTTCTGTTCTCTGTGCTTTTCCCCCCTTTCCGGAGAAAGGAATTCTCGGCTTCAGGGCATGGGGGGTCCAATCATGCAGGATTTTTGCGGTGTCTGCTAAGTCGCCGAAGATACCTTTTTCTAAAAAGCAGCAGGGGATACAGTCAAAGCACAGCCCGTTTCTCTCCCCTGGATAGAAAAAAAACGAATTCCTCAACCTTAATGAAAGAAGAAAGCCAATAGCATATCGCAACTTTCAAGCACTCAGCTTTGACCCCAGAACTTGGAAATATGCACTGTAATGGCGCAGTCGCTGCAGGGCAATGGAAACCCTGTGCCTTCTCTCGGCACACAATTTGCCCCCCCTCCCCCCCTGTCCTCTGGGTTACCTCACAGTGGAAACAGCTGCTGTTCTTGATAGCTCCGCTGTTTACCCTTGGAAAGTTACGAGCACCAACTGGGGGGTTGTTGTGCGAGCTGAGGAGCGATAGGGAGGTGACTAGATCGTCATCGCCGAAGTTCAACAAATCTCCCTCGACTGCGCACTACTCTCCTTCACCAATGGCCACTTGAGCCCTGGAGTAGAACGCGACACATTTGCGCAACACACCCGTCGTATGATGAACAGTGGTTGATCCCGTCGAAACATCAAGGTTGATTGGCTAGAGAGCCGAGTGCTCGTTCTCATGCAGGATGACCCAGCCACGGTACATGTTTCGGGCGAGAGGTACTAGAGACCGATAATTAAAAGAAATATAATATGATGGTAAAAATATCTGTGGTATTCGAGCTGCGATACAAAATTACCTCTCTATTGTCGGGCACCTGTCACCCTCGACGCCCATATAAAGAAAGAGCTTCCTCCTTGTATTTCTTCTGCCTACCGTCATTCCCGCAGTCACGCTCTCGCTCATTGTCAAGGATCCTCCCCTTTGAAATTTGCGTCTACCCCTACCCAGAATGTCGAAGTTTATCTTGTTTCTCTACCTCGCTACCCATATGAGCACTGCTCATCCCGGCCATAGCCCCCAGATAACAGCCAGCCTATACGGTCGCCAGAACACTATTATTTCCTCCTCCATCTCGTTTAGTACGCGAATAATTTCTGGATCAGATAACTGCAATGGTACGATATATTCTCCGGAGTTAATGAATAATAATTGATGACTCTAGGATGTGGACCCGGTACTTACTGTCTCATTGACGGTGTGTGCTGCGACAACCAAGTGGATCCCGCCACATGCGCTAGTAATAACGGTCTCCAACTCTCAGTCAGCTTCTCAAGGTCGACTAGTTTCCTCTCCTCGACACAAGCATCTTCTCCTCGCCCTTCCTCAGTCTCGAGCACAAGTGGCGCCTCAAGTTCAAACGCGAGCCGAACCTCAAACACTAATGCAAGTCGAGCCTCAACTTCCAACCCAAGCAGTACCTCAACATCCGGCCGTACCTCAACCTCCGGCCGTACCTCAACCTCCGGCCGTACCTCAACCTCCGGCCGTACCTCAACCTCCGGCCGTACCTCAACCTCTGGCCGTACCTCAACCTCCGGCCGTGCCTCAACCACCGGCCCAAACAGAACCTCGAAATCTGACGCAAGCCGAGCCTCGAGCTCAAAGGCAAGCCGATCCTCAAGCTTCAATGTAAGCAGGTCCTCGAGCTCCAACGGAAGCGGGGCACCGCCAGAGCGACCTTCCACCAAACGGCCAGAGCCCTCCACCTACCCCACAGTCGACGAGGACTCTGTCGCGCCGAAGGAAGCTGCACCAGTCACCACCACCTACGGCCCCATTACCGCCACCATCGCCGACAACCCCGTGACCCTGGCCTTCTCCGGAGAAGTCCTCCCGCTCCAAACCGTTGCCAATCACAAGCCTATCTCCAGCAAGTTTAAAGACGCCGTGCTTGCAGCGTTGGCGAAGGATCCTGAGACTAGAGCTTTCGGGGATCTTTTGACGCAGGCACCATCAGTCTTCGAGGGCCTCGAGGAAAAAAAGGAATACTACCTTTTCGCGCCCACTACCAAGTTCGTTATAGACTTCCTCAAACGCATGCAGGACAACCCCTCGCGGTTGGCCCGCCGCAAGGTCCTTGTTGACCCCAACACCAGCCAGCAGTTTGCGGAGAAGCCCAAGGGCGCGCCGGATATCAAGCGCGTGTCGAGCACTCTCGAGACGGCCCTTGTAGGCGAAACCAAATATGTTGACCTTGGAGCTAGCGAGGGTGCTCGGGTGGTCTCAGATCCTGAGAGTAATGAGAACGGTACGGTGTATGTGACCTCGGGATTTGGGAATTCGACGTTGGTGCATGCTGGCGAGATACCCTTTGAGGGTGGTATCATCAAGAAATGTGACGGGTAAGGAACGGCACTTTTAACTAGTTTGGCTCAAGTGAACTAACACTGTTAAAGATTTTTCACTCTGCCACACGCGATTGAAACAGTCTTTTCCAACACCAGTGGGCGCTTGTGGTCCACGGCTCTGCAAAGGGCGGGCATGTTGACAGAGCTATCGGAGAAACGAATGGTGACAATCTTCGCCGTGCAGGACTCTGTTCTGGACGAAGCAAATCTTCCGGGGTCAGCCGATCTAAGCCGGCTCATCTACGAAAAGCTTTTGTACTCGCCCGACATGAGCGATGGCCTTTGCTTGGCGACGAAGGGTGGTGGCTCGTTGAGCATCAAGCGGAATGGTAACGACATACTCGTCAACGGAGCCCGGATCTCCAGGGCCAATGTTATTGCCAAGAACGGCGCCATCCATTATCTGGAGAAGGTATGCTACACACTCCCTGCCTTCACATTTCCGTACTAAACCGCCTTTAGATTCCGCCGGCCGGGGGATGCGGGGGCTCTGGATCTAGTGTCGGTGTGCAGAGTGACAAAAAGTCTGCCGGTTCAATAATGGTCGTCTCCAGAATGGCTGTCCTGAGTTTGTCGGTTGCTAGCCTTGCAGTGTGTTTGTGGACGTAAGGTTCTGGGCAGGTCATGCGGTGGATGCCTATGGTCTCGATGCCCGCCAGGTATGCAATTGAATTATAGGGGGGATTTCCTAAACATCGAGACGGGGAACCCAGAATGGTAGAAAAAACCAATACCCTCTGCTCTAGAAGTTTCAAGGTAGAATGGGGAGAGCTGATGGAATATGTATAATTAAGGCGGTCGTTAATGCTCGGTGTGCTGTTTATAAAATTTAATATCATAATTAACTGACAACCTAAAATCCTATTGGCTCCCTCCAACTACAGAGCAAAAGTCTCGGTAACCAGGAGCACGTCAGTTCTCGATTCGTCTTCAACGACAATGTGTAGCACTTGGTATTCGAGCCACCTTCGGCCCTGATTAAAGCTTCGACGTGTCAAGGCGACGCTTAAATCAGATCACCAATTTCACAACCTCTGGCCCTTCCACACAGCTCGGCCACCCAATACTCGTCCTCTGCACTAGAAAATATTTTATCGATATCGGCGGTAGCATCCGACAATCTCCTTTGACCATAATTTCAACATGCGCTGGTGTTCAGGTCTTGATGCTGATGCTCTTTCTGGTAGCGGGTGCCCCCGATGCTGAAGAAATTCGACTCTCTTGCTTCACAAAATTTCCCCCCCGCGCTCCCGAATCGCAGGTTCCCACTGCGGGCGTCCGATACCGACCACTCGGGATGATGGTGACAGAGGTCCTAAGGCTTCTGCGGTCAAGGTTGTAATCAGGGGGGTATTGCAGGTGCATATGTTGGCTGCGCCCGGTCTGATAGCAGTGGCGTTCCCCCGTTGACCAGGATGAGAATTTTCGCGTAACCCGCCAGGGCGAGTTTACTCGTAGCGAGGATCGGCGGAAACTATATTATCTACCCCGCGCGGGGTCATCCTTAAACCAATCATGCGCAATCTGGTGTTTCACAACGTCCAGGAGCCTTGATGCTCATCCCGGTCCTCGGCAGCTGAGGTGCAACTACTCGAGTAAGGATCTCACCCGACGGGCCGCCCGGCGATCTCCGTTCATCGCGGCAGCATGCGGCACCCGATTCGACAAAAGCAATTATTAAGGTGGCTGGGACCAATGATTCAATGCCACTCCACAAGGGGGATTGAGAGTTCACCATAGGCGAATCAGAAGAATGGATTTTCGGTAATACGGGTACGGGTGCCGTGGGAGGTGTTTTCGCGCACACCGAGGTGGCTTACCAGCAAAAAAATGCTGAAAATAGGCGAGGTCACAAAGTGGTGTGTGTGAAAACATCCCCCATCCCTTGGGTTAGGGTTGCCCGGACTAGATCTCGGGTCACAAACTACAGCGCGCCGAGCGCCCGCTTTACAGAACACGAATATGGAGCTTAAAGAGTTGAGATTTTGCAAGCTAAAAGTATCTTACTGATTAGGGTTCCAATTGGCTCTGCCACCTTTTTCCCTCCCTGTATTGACTTGTTTATCATAGAGCTTCCTGGGCCTGGGTTGTGGGTTACATCGTGAACTAGGAGGATTCAGGCAGTATGGCACTGAACCATGCTGGGCCATCATAAATTTAAGCTATCGGACATGCAGTTAGGAGATGTGCGGTTACTGGGTATACGGTATAGGCCTCCGGTTTGTTGATACCCGTCAGCATGGGGCACCACTGAGGTGCATAGATCTGTGCCGAATCTGAATAGGCTTAGTAGACTAGTTAGTGTAAATTATCATAGAAAAGCTCGTCGTCCAGAACCCCTACTCTGAAACTGGACGAGTTGGGAATGAGGCTGGGGGGTTGGAATTTTCCACCTTGGATTAAGAGGAAAAAAAAATGGGCACGGTATGGTTCGTGCAATCCAAAACATATACGAGAATTTTCCCTATTTTTATTTCATTATAACAAACAACTAGATGATGCTAAAAATTTAAAAAAAACCACTACCATGTAGGAATTGTTAAGGACAATCATGTAGTGGTTTTTTTATATTTATTTCTCACCTCTACATGGAGGTATAATGATTTGAAAAAATGTGCTTTGTATGGGAGAGTTTCTGATGTATTATACAAAACCACATTGAAATTACCAAGACCATTAGTTTTTTCCATCTTAGTTGTCAAATCAATATTATTGTCATATTATATTTTCTCAACATATGTAGCATTTTTCTTAAGGTATTATGATAGGCCAATCTTGGCATTTTTGCCTGCTCAGCCATGTAACACTCAAAATCCAGCCTGATATACATTTTGGATTGCACGAACCATAGTTCTCTCTCTCACTCCTTGGTTGGATTGGATCGAGAGAAATTAGCCAATATTCCTACTGGAGTTAGCTCCAACATCCTAACGATGCTCTCAGTTTTTATAGTTTTACAGCACTAGACGCCAGTATACAAGGAGTTTTACAAAGTCGGATTCAACTTTAGGGTGGAGCACAACTGACCAAGGGGGTGTGGGTAGGTGCTTCGGGAGAGGGGAATTCGGAGGAAAGATCGAAAACTCTGCTTCAGAGAACCTCAGTGCATAGGTTATCTGCGGAAAGCAGCCCGTTGGCTCATCCAAGGTTTTCGATACATTGAGGTGGTAGCGGGCCGTGGACCCCGGTGGTGGGACCCCCCACAGCTACTACGGTAGGTCGATCTTATATCATACCCTATCGAGAAAGCTCTAATAAATGTGAGAGTTGTGTCGCGGAATCCGGGGATTACGGGGCTCGCAAATATACTGTTTTTTAAGAGATTATGGGCTAAGCGCCGGAGTAGGAGATAAATGTACTACCGTACATCAAACCCAAATAGAAGATAAGCGTCCTAGGACCTTGGGATTCATTCCCCTTCCCGGTTGAGCGGGAGGAAAACCCCTCAAACTCAGCCCTTAACTGAGATGAACAAAAGGAATATACACATCTCCTCGCCAGGAGAGGCAACTCTAGTCTCAAGGGTCCAAACACATTTACCTTCTACTTGACCACCTACGTCACGATTCCGGAATTATCATTCCGGGCTCTTATGCAAAATTTGCCAAATCCAGCCCTCGGATGGGGCTGGAAAGAAGGAACATGATCACAGCCTTATCAATAGAAGCAACAACAACCTCCTGATACACTTACCTTCTCCCGGTATTCGAGTTTTTTCGGCATCTGCTCGTATGCCTGGACACCCCTCTCCACCGATGGCATATAGATCTTGAACAAAGCCCTTATCGACCGGGAAAATTGCATCGGAAAACACGCCAAAGTCCGCGAAATCCAACCTCAACCAGAGTCGCTGTGCCCCAGGAACCTCAACACCAACTATTACCGAATGTATGATAGCTGAGGGCAGCCAGGGGCTCGACGATTTTGTGTATGTTTCTTTAGCTGCTATCGATTTTTTTCTGTGTGCCAAATCTCGGGATTCATTCGCAAGTACATCACATGTAAGTGCTGGGGAATCCATGGCGCGCACCATAAGTCACAGCGTCAACTCGGTTCTGCAGAGCCTTAGAATCTGTAAACTTTAGACTCCCACCGAAAAAGGGAATTCACTTATTCCGAGAAGCCCGACCTCAAACGCGCGCACCAGCAAGACAAGACACGTCTGATTCCACTAAAATCTGGGTATTGTGAGGCCCGTACGACTCCCTGGCACTCGGTTAGGACATATAATCAATTGAGGTGGATCACAGGTTTTTCCAGCTACAAGAAATACCGGGGATGAAATGCATTGAGCTATTTTCGGACCTGGGTTATAATCTGGAGCTCTATGTGATTAATTATTGGGCTGGGCGAGCTCCTCCATCTCGTGCTATTGATCTACTCCTGGGGGGGGGGGGGGGGTAGTGCGCTGTCAGGGCCTGTCCCTGTGGTTATATTGTACTATTACCGGTATTGTGGAAGATAGGTTTACTGGGCTGCGGTTGCATTTTGTAGGCGTCTTGGCACCCAATATTTCTGTGTAATATTAGGGGGTGTTTGGCAGACCGTGTGTTGAGATGACTGTGAGTTCTACACACGTATGCGGCGCTTATCCTTCCTAGAATTTTGCTTAATATGAAATTTAACATGCTTTAACACCTTTAAACATATTCTAGTAACACCTCTTTTCAGGAAAAACCGTGCGTAGAATACGCGATCGTCTCAACACATGGTCTGCCCAACGCCCCCTTATGTAGGCTGACTTTTTTCCCTCCTATTCTGCGGAGGAGGGAGAGACACCCGCATCTAACCACCACCCCAACACGTATCGACAAGCAATAAAACAGCGTTTCCTTTCCGCCTAAATTGGGTTCTGTTTCTTTTCTACTAGTACTACATTCGTCGCCGCGTTATACTGCCTTGTTTCTAGTGATTTTCCTACAACCCATCCCAACGCACACCGCATGGCCATGGTTAATTCCTTTTGTGCACTCTCCAGCTTCGTCGAGGGCACCGTCCAATCCTGTGAGTCAACGGAGACACTCCTGAACCGCCGGTCATTGGTGTGGCCTCAGCGCCCTCCTGAGAGAACATCGGATTCGGTGCCCCCTAGTCCCGGAGACTCATAATGTCGGCTACGGGGGTCTGCCCTGGCATTGGTATATAATCATTTCTAGGGTTTTCCCGCGATGGCTTACCGGCAGTCAACCGTGCGACCACCAAGACTACTATAGTACAGGTCCCCAAGAGCCGCACGCCAGCCGGTGTCCAGAGGATGCGATAGTATCGCGACCGTGGTAACCAGCTGCCAGCAGAAGATGAAGAGAAATGCCACGAGGATCGAGTAGAACGCTGTTAGGATCTGCCCCCCACCAACCTATCGGGGCTATGCACAACCCGGGGCCAGTCTTAGTCCAGGCTCGGAGTTGAGGAGGGGGGGGGGGTAAGTACCAGTGCTTTCTTCCTCAATGGCCGTGAATACCTACATGACCCGAAGGACGCGCTGCTAATTTTGCGATAGTCTGGGCTAGGCTGAACGTGGGAGACTGATGGAGAAAATAGTGCAGTATGGTGGGGTTATGGTGTTGGTACCAGTGTTTCCAACCGTCCAGTCTGCCCGTCTTTGGAGAGGACGGGACGGACTATAGACTGGAATCCGTCTTTTCGGGGGTGTTATGACGGACTACCGAGGACTCCCGTCTTACAGCCCGAAATCCTATGAAGAAAGGACCTTGTCAGCACCAACGCTTTAGCCATATCTAAGGTTGTTTGTGGTATAATGTGTTGTCCCCCGCAGTCCCTCTGCCGTCCACCGTATTCCCCCACCGTCTATAGCAGTCCCCTGAAGTCCCGGGAACTCCCCAGAGGCCTCCGCTGGGCCCCAGGACGGTTGGGAAAACAGACTGGCGCTATCGATGGACGCGATGCGGGAAAACTCAGAAGTATGGCGATACCATGGGCCTCCGGA